CTCATCGAAGCCGTCGACTCATTGTTGCTGAGTTTTGCATGCTCGGGGTATTGAAATTGGGTTATTATGAACATTATATTTTATTTTATATTTTAGTCCGCATCGTCCACGAAATTAATAATACAAGATATTCGAGAGAGTAATCGTTTTCCTTTTTTAACAATAAAAGAACACCATCAAAATAAAACATCAGGGAACCATAAAATATCAGCGAACCAAAGAATCCAGTCAAAAGAAAAGAACACCGTGAGGGAGGGAGAGCACCACAGACACCGAGGGAGAGCACCACAGACACCGAGGGAGAGCACCACAGACACCGAGGGAGAGCACCACAGACCCGAAGGAGAGCACCACATGCCTGAGGGAGAGGACCACATACCAGCGAGGGAGAGCACAACATGCCTGCAGAGAGGCACGCCGTGCGACAGCACATGACCAAGTGAGGCACGTCAGAGGGAGAGGACCCAGCGAGTTGAATAACCAGCGACGAGGAAGAAAAAATAATAACGCTATCACCTGGAAAAATGTTAAGATGGTCAGGAAGGATCGTCTTAACATCGAAAAATGTTAATTCAATTGAAAAAATAAATGAGTTTCCCTTACAGTATGAATGAACTAAATTAGAAAACTACTATAGCAGTAATAGCGTCGGTATGACTAACAAACTGGCTCGGTGATGACACTTGTAGAAATTAACCTAATTAAACATAACAGAAAATTCTTGTCCAGGAGACATCTGAACTACTGCATCGCACTGGCTATAAAATATTTAATGATTATTTCAAGCTAGACAACTTGCGTAAGGTCTCGAGAACGATTGGGGGTGTCTTGCTTTTGTCCTTCAGACCAAGTAGGGCTCGTTGAATAAAGCATAGAGTTTTTTTTGGCACATTTTGGATAAGCCATATTAAACACGTAGAACGTGCCAAACCATGCCAAGAAACCTTCGGTGATGCCAGATACCTTGCAAATCTCCCTGCCTTCTGCGAGGATGATACCCTCAGAGGTGGAAAGCGAAGCGTCAGTGAAATGAAGACCTGGGGCCGCCTCGATAATGGATCCCTGTCAAATAAACTTGGTAAACCAGAGGTAAATTTTTATACAAAATGAGACTAACTTCAATTTTTATATAAAATGAGACTAATTTTTCTGAAGATTGCAAGCATGGTTTTTCAAGCGAAACTTGAGTGCACACCAAAGAGCAAAATAAATAAACTCATGTAATTTTGTTTTATTAGTAAAAGTTATGGATGTAAGTCTTTCTAACCTCCACAGGCATATCATATTAAATTGTTTCGCGCATCAGTGCTGGAATAAGGAGCAAAGCACTGGACATCATTTGATCTGAAAAAGAAAAGACGGAGACGAGAGAAAATAAATAAGATGAATATAAATAGATTGCATGAATAGATTAAAAGAAATGAATCTGACATGACAATTCACTAGAGGGTTGTAGAATTTCCAATCCATCTGGAGGATCATGAAGTACCTCTTAATTTAAAAGAAGTTTTACCTTCATATTCAGCTGAATCCAAATCACGCTTTTCAGGAATGGCAACTTGACTCAGCAAGTGGATTGCTCTCCCATGAATCTTCATACTTTCCCGAAGTCTTTCCATCAAGTTGATCTCCGTCAAGCGCTCAAACTCGAAGAGTATCTGTACAAAATATAATGCATAAAATTTTATTCATGACCTATGACCATTTAAATGCATCGGAATAGAAGTAGGAATGAGGGCAAAGTACAGCCTTTATAACATTAAAATATTTGATAAACCAGAGTGAAAATAGCCAGAAAATTCACCATTTCTTAAAAAGGAAAACGTTTCGGAGACCAGCTCCATCATCAGTTCAAAACCTAAAACACAGGTACAAATAATTAGCAATAAATTCACATTGATGCATAAATCGTCAAATGAGAAACAAACAAGAATGAAGCAAACACGGGCACAAACCTATCTATTTACAATTTCGAGGGGATATGAACCTGTCTCTTATACACATCTAGATGTGTATAAGAGACATAAGCAATATTCTCAGGTTGTTCCCGAACGTGACCATAGGAATGCTGTTTATTGTTCATTTCCTTACTTTGGTCCCGCTTCTGAGTCTATGGCTAAAGAGTTGAAAGATTTGTTCTCTAAATACCTCCCAAATGTAAATCTTCATGTATTGCTGGTGAATAATTTTAAAATCAGTTCTTTTTTCAAGTATAAAGACACACTTCCTGTTCCTATGCGATCGTCCCTAGTTTATCAATATAGTTGTGCGCTATGCGCATCGGCGTATGTCGGTATGACATCTCGCAACTTTTATACTAGGCTGGCGGAGCATAAAGGAAGGAGTTTTAGAACAGGAAACCTGCTTGCGCATCCCCCTCATTCAGCAGTACGCGTCCATGCCGAGCAGTGCAACGTGCCAGTGTCCGATAGTGATTTTCGAATTTTAGCCTCCACGACCGGTGTTTCCGACTTGCGAATTCTAGAGTCCCTTTATATTTTTAAACAAAAGCCTATTTTAAATGCCGCTAATAGTTCATATCCCCTCGAAATTGTAAATAGATAGATTTGTGCCCGTGTTTGCTTCATTCTTGTTTGTTTCTCATTTGACGATTTATGCATCAATGTGAATTTATTGCTAATTATTTGTACCTGTGTTTTAGGTTTTGAACTGATGATGGAGCTGGTCTCCGAAACGTTTTCCTTTTTAAGAAATGGTGAATTTTCTGGCTATTTTCTTTGTTTTAAATTTTTGATAAACTTGCGATTTAAGCAGTCAAGTGATTTTAAAACCAGAGTGAATAGCAGTGAAATATGAGTGGACGAATATATTATAATAAATGATAATATTCCAATACTCATGATAATATAATATTTACCAATCTACTCGCTCCTCAAACCTGATTTGGATTGAAAATAGCTGGATACAGTTCAGCAATGTAAGCGACTGTTGCATTTTCTGTTATGATGAGCTGCCTTCGGTCATGAAATGTGAGCTTCATGAGCTCTTCAATTGTTCTTGGATTCGGAGCTTTCTTCTTTAGCTCATTGATCATCTGTGTACGGTGACGTTGAATTGATATGTCATCTTCTGTAAGGGGCTTGCTTGGCATGTAATTTACCACACCAAATGCCGGAACATTTTTGGGAATTTTCTTCGGGGGCATGTCATCATTTTCTTCCTGTGGCAGATGCAATTTCTTCTTTGCTCTCATGGCCATGACAGAAGGCTCTTGACTATCCCGTCTTTGTCTTGCATTCCTAGCCTTCATTGACATTCTCGTCCTCCATACTTCCTGGCAATGGTAAGTGACATTGAGCTTCACATTGTACAGCCTATTCAAAATAACTAAGTTGTATTTTTTCTAATCAACAGTTGAAATAATTTACACGGTTTTGAAGATAAAAAATAAACAACATGACTAATATTCATAATTGCTAATGTGTGCAGGGTACATGAAAAATTTTTTAAAGAAAATATCATGACTTGTCACTTACCACAGCATCACCAAACTCAATAAATATAATAAAATATTTTAAGCTGTTCAAAGCTGAGTTTGATTTTATGCCATAAGTGGTACACATTTCTTTGTTAGCTTCAACAATTCTGGCAGCTTCATTGTAGCTTTCCTCTGTTCGTAAGACAAATTCCTCTTCTGTAAATTTGTCCTTTATCATTTCTTTAGTTGCCATGCAAAACCTGCACACACGCAGGGATGATTAATTACAGACAGTCAAAAGCCCGTCGGCGACTGCATGACTGTCTGAGCTATTAACTCGTAAGTATTTTTAATGGGACGACTTCTTTAGTTGCCATGCAAAACCTGCACACACGCAGGGATGAAAAACTTTCCACAAAGCCCCCCAGTTCATGGGCAGCCAAATTATCACTAAGTACAAAAGCTAAAGTTCCCTTGAAATTAAAGTTTCCATGGGAAGTTTCTACTTTCAGCCCCTGCTCCTCAAGAATATGCATATCATGTAAAAATTTTTGTAATATTTTTTTAAACTCATATTTTTTATATTTAAACTTTTGGTCAGCAACAAAATTTGTATAGTGAACAATTGGCTATTCAAATGAGGTGGGATATTACCCAATGACCAATACATGGCACATATTTTATTCTTCTTGGTTGAAGTGCCTAGAGGATTCACCACTTGAAAATCATCCAAGTTAAGCTGAATGTGCAAGCAATTCTGGTCAGATAGAAAGGGAGAACTTTGACAGTGTTGTGCAGATGAGAAACTGTCTATTATATGATCATCACTAGCACTTGAGTATTCCTGATTAAACGTGTCTTTGTGTTTGTTTATCCCCACAATTGATACTCGTTTTAATCCAAAGAAAGAGTTAGAGAAAGTCACGATCTAACTTCACTCACCCTGTAGAACTGCACTGCTTTCATTTTTTAATAGGTAATTATAAGAATAGATTTCATTTTCGTCGAGGGGTGATGTGAAATGCTGATGTAGCGGGGTCATATGAAGGAGTGAGACCACTTTCGCCTTTGACATGACGGAGCGGGCCTTTGACCTGACTAAGTGGACCGCAAAGCGAGCCTAGTGGAGCGCAAAGCGAGCCTAGTGGAGCGCAAAGCGAGCCTAGTGGAGCGCAAAGCGAGCCTAGTGGTACCGCAAAGCGAGCCTAGTGGACCGCAAAGCGAGCCTAGTGGACCGCAAAGCGAGCCAGTGGATTGCAAAGCGAGCAATGCGGTCCTTTGTGCTGGCTTAGCGGGTCGTTTGAACAGGTCGAGGGCGCTTTCAAGAAGCTTTCCTATTTCTGTTTTTTTCTTTTTTCTTCTCGCTTTCTCTTTCGTTAAACCAATAAGGTAACATAGGTTTAACGACAGAAAGACGATACCCTTATACGATAGCAAGAAGAATTCTTCTTGAATGTTTCTTTCTTTCCACAGATTTCACAGATTCCACAGAGAATATCCAATATCTTTGAGATTTGTTTCAGTTCAGAGAATATCCAATATCTTTGAGATTTGTCTAAGTATGACTTCAGACAGTGATTCCAGTTATGAGGGCTCCTGCGACATGTTCGCTAGTTCAGGAGATGTGCAGCATAAGGAGGAAAGTAGTGGGATTGGAAAGAAGAGGAAGAGGAAGAAGACGGCATATAACGTTGAAAAGAAGAGGCGTTATCGAGAGAGACTCCGAGAGCGCAGGAGAACGTCAACGTCGTCAGCTTCCACTTCTGCCTTAACCCCTGCCTCGCAAGGGCACTTGCAGCTTGACGCCGAAAGGCAAAAGGTGACGCCAGGCAAGAAGAAACTGCCAGTTCCTGGGCCTTCTCAGGTTGACCCACTCTATGAGAGTGTCTTAGCTGAGTGGAGCGATAAGGAACCACCTTCCGAGGGAACTGTTGTATCGGAAACGGATCACGAAGCCGGCGAGATTCATGTCCCAGGTACGTTTCATGGTATTAGCGTTGCGAAGGAGGTAAGTAATGAGAGATAGGTATAATGAAAGATACGTGTTATGTTCTTGTTGTATTATCCCAAAACGAAATTTGATGACGAAAATAAAATGTTCTTCCCTCTCTCATTTACGTTCCATTTCGTTTTCTTTCGCAGCAGCAGAGCCAGAGGCACAGCCAGAGCCAGAGGCACAGCCAGAGCCAGAGGCACAGCCAGAGCCAGAGCCACAGCCTGAGGCGGCTACGTCTCGGGCCTCCTCGTCGCTGCCGGAAGCCGGGGACTTTGGTCACCATGGTAAGTCTTGTAAGTCTGTAATGAAGTCTATAATGAAAGTCTATAATGAAATATAATGGTAAGTCTATAATGAAAGATACGTGTTATGTTCTTGTTGTATTATCCCAAAATGAAATTTGATGACGAAAATAAAATGTTCTTCTCTCTCTCATGTACGTTCCATTTCATTTTCTTTCGCAGCGGCAGAGCCAGAGCCAGAGGCACAGCCAGAGCCAGAGGCACAGCCAGAGCCAGAGGCACAGCCATAGCCAGAGGCACAGCCAGAGCCACAGCCTGAGGCGGCTACGTCTCGTGCCTCCTCGTCGCTGCCGCAAGCCGGGGACTTTGGTCACCATGGAAAGTCTTGTTATATGGAATCTGTGATGTAATGTAATCCAGCATTCCGGTCAAGCGGTAAAGAGAGCCGTTAAGCGAGCAAAACTTGACGTAAGTGAGCCAAGTGGACAACCTGAGCGAGCCGAGCAGGCGTCCGAGCGGGCACAGAGAGCAAACGAACCGGTAAAGAGAGCCGTTAAGCGAGCCAAACTTGACGTAAGTGAGCCAAGTGGCCAACCTGAGCGAGCCGAGCAGGCCGTTCGTGCGGGCTGTCAGATGGTTTGATATGATATGTGATTGAGCTGCATTCCAACCAAGTGTGTTATTGTCTAACTTATCACGGTTATTTTCGATCATGCCTCTATATATTTATTTGATTTTTGCCTAATGAATATTTTTTTCTTCATTGTAACACAGTTGAAGGGGTGGTGGTGGAGGAGGAAGAAACAGAGGTCGTCAAGGAGCTTAAAAGGCATCTCCAACTTCATAAAGAGGAATTGGAAAAGCGAAGAACTGAGAGGGAAATGATAGACATCATTGACAGATCGCGCTTTATCTGCATGTCGGAGCAATTTACTAGTGACGAGAGAGGCCATCAATTGAGGCCAAGGCGCAATGTAAGCGATGACGGCGCGTCCTGCTCACGTGTGGCAGAAGCGGCGATGATATGTCTTATGATGATTCTGATGTCGATCAAGCCTACGTGCCGCCGGAAGAAGACGAAAGTTCCTCAATGTCAGAACAGGAAGGAGACAAAGCGGATAGCAGCAGCGTTGAAAGCGATCCGGATGACCCAAAAGTACCAGGGGAAAGTGAGCAGGAACGGCACCTTCGCCACCGTCGCATAAAGCGACGCATGCTCGCTCGGCAGCAAGGTCGAAATCCCAAACGAAGATCTGGAGCAGTCAAGAATATGTTGCTGCCAATGTTCACGCCGCAGGGGAAACCCTACAGCCAGGCACCTTCAGCCCTGGCTAGCCGGCAGAAACGGCTTGCACGAATAATGCGTTCAGGAGGCGACGGAGCCAGAAAGGAGCCTCCGAAGAAAAGGGCCATGACGACCAAAAGAATTAGTGACGTCGAGGACAATGCACCCGAAACTAGCTCTGGAACTGTATCACTAGGTGGAGTAGACGTTTTCCGCAACGTATCAGCCCACAATCAGCAGATAAAGAAAGATCGACCATGTCGTGAAGACCCATTCTTGGGAGCTACTGCTGAAGATTATTTGAGCAGGCTGCTCGTCGATACCTCAGAACTCCAGTACAACATTGAAAAGTACCTAATCCAAGTCGAGGCACGGCAAGTTATCACAAGAGCCGTCGAGGAACTTTCGAAGAAGTAAGTGTGTGTCATAGGAAGAATCCTTATTACATGTTGTTATGTATGAAGACTTTGTTGACGACAAATTTCTCTTTCTTTTTCGATCATGGCGATGATTCTGCTGACGATATTGACGAATTTTCTTTTGATTACTTGCAGGAAAAGGAGCAAGATAGAAACGCCCAAGAGGAAACGTTACGCGGACGAGTTTGGCCCAGCATCCAGCCAATCCGGCGGGTCTTCCCAAGAGCGCGACGCCTCGCAGGTGGCCGGGGAGCCACCTTCAGAGCCAGGGTCCTCCTCCTCGTCGTCGCCGTCTTCAAACGAAGATGATGACCCCGCCATGCCGAGGTACGTGTCGGATGATATGTTGATTAGCTTAGAGACAAAAAATGAATCTAACATTATGGATGTAAACATTATTTAGCAAAGTTTTATTGTCTAATCTAGTCTGTCTCTTTGTCACACACAGCACAAGCAAAGATTTCAAGGCTGGAACTCGTCGTCGCGGCCGCGCCCCAAAGATCGATGGCAAGAAACAGTGGAACTGCATGTTGCCCTCGTGTATGGGCATGGCGACTCCAAACCACATGCTGAGGCATTACAGGGAAGTCCATGGATTTTTCAAAGAACATTCTTTTGCCATGAACAATTGCCACAGAAAACTAGAGCAATTGGAAAAGCGGAAAACTGATAACCCTTCAATGGATCCGACGGAAATAAGAGAAAGAGTGAGCAATATCTTACTCGAACTGAAAAATGTCTCTCAGGACTTCGCTGCCATGTCTTCGACCAAGACGTTGGAGACATCATTTCCACTGGCACTTCTAGTAATGCTTCTAGACGGTCTGGGGAATGGCAATGTTTTTACGGAGCTGATAAGTCGAATGAAAGAATCGACAAAAGAGGGCGAAAGCACCTCAAAAACTAGCCACACAGCAGGAAAAAGCAGCGCCACAAGAGACGACCAAGGAGGAAAAGACGGTGAAGAAGGCGAAGAAGACAACGACGACGACGACGACGAAGAAGAAGAGGGTAGTCAAGCAGCAAGCAATAGGTCGACGAAATATCTCCAAAAAGGAGAAACGTGGGAAAAACGTTTCGTGACCATTTGCCCCTATTGTAAGAACGCGTACAGCACGAGAAAACTGAAGGACCACATAGAAAGAAAGCATGGCAAGACCCCGCATGCAGCGAAAGCAAGTGTTCAATCTGTACTACGATTTAAAAGGTTTGTAAAATTGACTGGAAAGAATGAACGTGGCCAAGGAATCAGTCAATATGTTCCTCCCGAAATACTAAAAAGCATGGTTGAAGAATTCGAACGAGGTGCGGTCACCCCATTGGACTTGAATGTGGTTGCACCTAGGGTAGAAATTAGGGATATTGAAGANTGGGGGGTGGATAGCTAGAGGTCAACATAGCCCAAGTCCACAGTGCTATTCATATACCTTCCCGAGCGTAACGCAGCCGGGCATCTTCACGGCTTTTGACACAAAGCGCCCACCACAACAGCGCAGTTCAGTCACAGGCCGGAGCCCAACTGGCCCTACCGCAAAAGCTACTCCTAACGTAACGTAACCTAACCTGCGCCGCCTGTTGCGGTAGGGCCTGTTGCGCTCCGGCCAGTTGGTCTCCGGCTCTGTGAAGCAGTGGCTGTGTTGTGCAAAGCGGATTTACTGTTAGCCGGAGTTACCCACAGCTCATTAATCTGAGGCTCAGCTCATTATGTGCATGCTGATGTTTGGTGTTGGGCCCAGGGCCTGTTTACGAGTCAATTTTGTTACCCACGGCTGCGTTCCCACGCTGGGAGTTGTCGAGTAAGGTGTGTGCATGGTGGAGGCAAGCGAGAGCTCCAAAGCTGTGCGCGCTACGGTGGGCAAGAAGGAAAGCGACGCAGCTATACCTAGTACGAAGGACGAGCCGCTACTGGGGCTGGGCAGTGGGCCTGTCTCTTATACACATCTAGATGTGTATAAGAGACAGGCCTAGTGGTACCGCAAAGCGAGCCAAGTGGACCGCAAAGCGAGTTAAGTGCACCGCAAAGCGAGCCAAGTGGACCGCAAAGCGAGCCAAGTGGTACCGCAAAGCGAGCCATAATGGCCTTATTTTACCCACTTCAAAGGAAAAAGTCAATATGGCATAGCTCCGCAAATATCTTTCAGATCAATTTGAAAATTGAATGCCTTGACTTAGTCATAATCGCGGTTATTTTGATACTAAAATGAGCTAGATACAACAATTTTTTCTGTTCGAGATCACACTTTTATGCAAGTTGAAGGTCTAGTAATGTTACATATGACATTACCCCATCTTTTGGTGACAATTTGAGAAAGTGAAATAAATATTACAACAATTGATTGGAATTTACATTCGGTGGTATCAATGAGCAATACCACGTGTTTTGGCACGTTCTAAGACGCACTCTCATGGGTGTTTGGCTGAATTTTGGTGATGCATTTTCTGATGAAAAGAAGTCGTAACACTGCGAACAATTATCCGATTTTGACGATATTTTAATATGTTGTTGTGCTCATCATTACAAACATTTTGAGGACCAATAGGAACTTGCTGCGACGATTTTTACGACTTTTCATATTTTTGATTTAAAATCACTTGCAAGCGTAATATGTTGTAGTGCTCATCATGGCGGTTCTTTTGATACAAAAACGAGCTGGATCCAACTATTTTTTCTATTTAGGTTTCAATTTTTCTTAAAATGGTACAAAAATCGGCAGCTGAATGTCAATAAAGGATCATCAAATTAGTCTACGGACAATGACAAGACATTTTCAGGCAGTCTCCCTTCATAAGCATCAAATAACAGTCTCAATCGTGTTCGTGTGAGACAAATTCAGATACTTGAAACTACATTTCAGATCAGCTTGAAAATAGTCTATTGTTATAGCAATGACGTTGAAATGCTGTTTCAGGGCAAAAAATTCTGAAAAAATCTCGTTATATGAAAAGTAAAAGTATCTTCTTTACATCGAATGTGCAAGATTTAAACCTTGATTCAATCTTTAATGATCGCCAGCAATCAGTATTCGACTTATTTTCATGTTAAAATGTGATTAGAAAATATTTTATGTTATTAGCCTTTCAAGGACCCACTATGGTCATTTTCATTTGAAAGGGTCATAGATGGGGCAAATGAAAGAAGCGAGCCATTTCATACTTAACCCTTTCATATGATAAGCGGGCATGGTCTACTACCTTTACCACAAGACTAAAGTGAGCCGACCGAGCCAAATTTGATCGGGTCACTAACCCTTTCGGTAACGGTCAACTCTTGGCCCGGCGTTGGCGACTCGGGAAAAAATGATTGGACGAGAAAAACAAACATACCATCGTAAAGAGCTTCAAAAAGGAACTAGGAATTGTAGTGAATGATTCTAAATTTCTTCTTGCGCTTGAAGTTATAAGCCAAGAACCATAAGAGGTCATGACCATAAGGTTTATCGCCTATTCCCTTAACATTAATTTTATATGGCTCACTTTGGAAAAATTGGGAGTGAGCCACATTATTAGTTAGTATGCAAAGTATTTTTACACAAACCTTACAGCCCAACTTGAAGAGGGGACCAAAAGCGCCCGCCGCCGCAGCATG